CTCCACATAGCCTGGAGATTTCGTTAGATTTCAGGTTGTGCATTGCGTTGAGCAGTAGTATGAACATGGGTGTAGTGGTAGATCAGCTCAAGTCTTATCCGTAGAACTTGTATACATCGCAAGAACCCGCTGCTGGTCAATTGCAAAATATTCCAGATTCATCTTTTTACGGGCGTGTTGGAAGCGGCCGGCCGCTGTTCATGTCCAGCGCCAGGCGACTTGGACCACCAGAACTCAACGCCCCATTCGCAAATGAACCTCGTGCGCACAAGGTATCGCAAGCGTAAGATCTGATAAGATCACTTGCCTTTGCCATTCACTGCCTGCAGCACAGAATATCGCTCGAAGATAACTGAATATTGGCTTCTTCCATCCTTTCAGAATCTGCAACATTCTACAACGCTCATTCCATCTTCAAACATCATGCTGCAAATGCTACGAAAATTGCACAATCGTCGATGCTGGCTCCGACTTTGAAACATTTGCTGAATAGAACGTACTGATATATGATAATCATCCCTGGGACAACATCCTAGGCTGATACCATTAAGATATGCTACGAAGCACTGGTGGGTGGCCAGCTAGCGCCGCGTCCCAGTGATTTCTCAGCCTGAGATGAAAAAGCCTGTCGGGCCCAGAAGTCAACGACGAGGACATTACTGTACCCACGCTGCCCAACCCGCCCTATCCATAAACCCAAACACGTCACCACCTTTGTCGTGTTATTGTTGAACTCGCCGGCAAAGCCCCTAAGTTCTTGTCCCTGACCCCTTTCTGATTGTATGGTCGACCTGCTTCCCTTCGAAAAACAGTCCAGAAAGCACGACCGACAAACAAATCGAGAATGCCTAGTGGGTTCTGCGCATGCTGGCATATCTATGCTCGCTCACTCTCGGATCAGATGTCTTCAGAAAGCATTTAAAGGGACAGCCATTCTCATGTGTGAGGCAATAGCAGCACGGAGTGGCAAGTCACCACCAGTCGCGACCCCTAACACGAGGACGCTTACGACAGATAATCTCTTTGGATGACTGCTCTTTCTGGCATATACAAGCGCCTTGAGAGCCATGGCCACGGTGCACAAGTGCTCTATGCTCTGGCGACCATGGGGGCAATCGCATTCACTCTCGCGTGGCTCCGCCCGAGTCGTCCAGCGCGTTACAAGCTTGTACCACCGGCAGGAGAGCGCGTGTTGGTTGTTGGGGCCTCAAGTGGTGTAGGCAAGGAGGTTGCGCGAATGTACGCGAGCCGTGGCGCGCGCGTGTGTTTGACTGGCCGTCGTTTCGACGAGCTCCAAACTGCGCGCGCCGAGTGCGCCCAACTTGGCGCGGCGGATGCTCGAGCTATTCGCATGGACGCTGCTGACGCAGGAGATCTGCTGCATGTACGGGATGAGCTGGAAAAGCATTGGGGCGGCATTGACACGGTGGTCATCTCGGCTGGGGTCATTGCACTCAAACCGTTGCTTGCTGTTGCCGGCCTCAACCACGATATCCAGACGAATGGATGGAAGCCGGCGCCTGAAATGACGCGTAAAGGTATTGAACACACCCAGGAGGTCGCGCTTCGCGCAGTTCGCGGCAATTTGCTTGGCCCAATGTCGACCCTCTTGACCTTCCTTCCCATGCTCAGCACCACAAGCATGCGACCCGTGGTCCTTTTGCTCGGCTCTACGGCATCCTTGATACCAGCACCAACCCTCACTATTTACGCAGCAACTAAATCAGCCTCACTCACGCTGTTCCGAGGTGAGGGTGAGCCTAATCCACCGTGACCACAATTATTGAGACTTCCGCGCAGGCCTATCCATTGAGCATCCAGAAGTCAAGCGCGTTGCTCATGCACTATATGAAATAACTACTCATCGATGTTAACAGATTTTGTTCTGTTCTGCCTGGAACCATTGAAGGCAGTTTTCAATCATCAGCGGTCGACGGTGGCACTATTCGAGAGTCGCTGGAGAACGCTCTCACGCGGAAAACCGTGGCCTCGGTCATTGTTCGGGCGGTGGACAACGAGACTCGTACAACCGTCCTTCCTACAGAGCACTTGGTGTGTAATTTAGCTGGAACGCGTTGACTTATGCCTACTGACCGTAGAGATAGCTTGCCTTCATCTTCAGATTCATTTGGCCCAGTTACATAGATGGTCTCGCAAGAAAGCAGTATAAATTTGGCCACTGAGCGTCGTGGCTGGTCCTGTCAGACGTCCACACAGACCGGAGATTTCGTGAGACTACGAATTGTATATTGCATCGAATAGGGCAACATGGGTATAGCAGTAGGTCACCTCAGGTCTTACTCCCAGAGCTTGTATGCATTGCAAGAACCCGCTGTTGACCAATTGCCAAAGCCTCTAGAGAGCTCATTTTCTTACGGACCCGACAACGTGGTTTCCCAAGTGTTGGAGGCGGCTGGCCGCTGTTCTTGTATAGCGCTAGGCGGTTTGGACCGCCGCAATTGAGCGGTAGGGTGCCCCCATTCGCAAATGAATCTTCTGCGCACGGCGTGTCGCAAACGTAAGATCCAATAACATCGCTCGCCCTGGCTCCCAGCGAAGAGCCGCACCAGCACTGTCCGGCCACTGATCAGCAGTTGTGCAAATACTAGGAACACGGACGGACCTCATTCCCATTTTCCAGTCCTGCGTACCGCCAGCCTGCATCGCTGCAATGTTGTACGCAACGATCAACACTCATGGGGCTGGCGGTGGCGTTCTCACCACCCCAAAGGTCTGAAAGAATCCTTTTGCCAGCCGGTTCTTTCGCACAACCGAGCTTCGACCATCCTGCAACGTTTGTGTCGGCAACAAACGAGACGCTCGACCGAGGGACAAAGTCTTGACCTGATGGAGGGTGGTTGCCGCACGAGCTTTGCACCACGGCGTTCGTTGGCCCTGCCTGGATGGGATTACAACCTGGAAGATTCTCCAACCCTGGTGGCGTATTGTTACTCAGAAGCCTTGGAACACTACGTGGGACGTACAGCCGGTGTTTCGTTCTGGGACGCGTGATGGAACGGCGCAGTCAGTTCATTTCCTCCACAGTACGAAGGTCGCCGTTGAGAACAGGGCATTCCTCAATAACGCCCGAGTCCGCCGTGCACTGATCCACAGCTCGTTGCAGGACGTCTTGAAAGATCCATTAGCCTATGCATCAGAAAAGCCGCGACGGCGGGATGATTAATGCCTACCTTGGTCCCAACCACTGATAAAATCAGCATGCATCGAGTAGCCTATGGATGTTCAGAAAGTGCCACAACAGGAAGTCAATCGAGACCGACCTGTGGGATCGCCTGTAGCCAACACGAAAGGCTGTCCAATGTCTGCGCTTCCACCATCCCAAAACTCGAACGCAGCGGTATCGTAAACGAATTCGTAAAAGATTGATACAAGGCGGACCGGATGCGAGTCGGGGCATTGACCATTGTCAATGCCATCAGGGTAGGCTACATGACCTCTATGATTTGAAGAGTCTAGCGGCTGCAATCGCAAGATAAGCTGGCTTCGGTGTTGGAACAAAAGTCGAAATCGTACCTGACTAGTTTGCCAGCATGAAGGAAAAAACATCTGGATAGTGTGAGCTGTGGATTGGCGATACGAGGGGAGGGACGCTGACTTGAGTACGTAGCCCAGATGGGCAGTTGCGTTTGGGGAAGCCATGGCCTTCGCCAGCTGCCCCAGTCGTGTTGCCGTAGTCGAGGCAGTTGAAGGTAACAGCTCGCTGGGAGGGTTCATTGACGTCAAAAGAGCGCAAGGTCATGTCGCCGGTAAGCATCCTGAAGCCCTTGGGAAACGCGCGAACACCTTCGCCAGGATGATTTGGGCGTTGCAGATAGTATATGGTCGACGTGATTTGTTTCACCTAACGAATATTAATGCTGGCGACCACATCAGCCCAGGATGAAGATCATGCCGGGTGGAAGCTCCCGTTCTTCGCATGGTAATATAAATCCGGAGCCCAATAGAGAGAAAGGTCTGTAATGGATCGTAAGTGAACGTCCGGGAAGGAGGAACCGCGAACCTTGACGTGCAGCGCAAGTGCTACAGCTGGATTGTCGCAGTTCATCGTAAGAAACTGCGAAATCAACGCTGCAGCTAGGTCAGAGGTGAACGAAGAGCAAGGCACTTTACATACGCGTTCTGTGGACATCATAGGGTAATGTTAAGCGACTTGAACGCCGAGGCTGCGTGGTAAGACGTACTCCTCCCAGAATCTAGGGACGATGAGAAGTTTGACGGCTTTCGCATAACAGTGGGTAGCTCACAGAATGGACATGGTTGGAAATGACTCCAGGCGAGACAATTCTGGATGGTAGCTTGAGACAAGTGTCTCTGAGTTCCAAGGCTCGACTTACGGGTCAGTGCGCATGACAGTGACTGGACTGAAGAACAGCATCGGCAACGCAGAGGAATCTCGGTGAGCTGGGTAAAGGCCGGAAGGGGGTGCCGCTCGCACCGTGCACATGTCATTCGAAAGAAAGCTCTTGCGGCGTGAGCCTGGAACAGGAAACATAGTACTCGAGCGAGCAGCAGGCCCATGAGGCCGTTGATAGAGAGAGGACAACGACGATAGAAGGGCTGGCTAATGAAGAGGAGATAACGTCAGGCAATTGTGCGCATTCGTCCGGTGGCGCATCTGTCGTTTGTGCCGGGCGTGTCCCTGCGGCATTGGCAGACGGACTGCACTTCCGAACACGCGCATTTCGAATGGCAAGGAGAAAGAAGGCACGACCAATCCGCGTGGCTAACAGGTCGCTAGCCCAACGCGGCGTCCGATGCAGGCAGCGGCAGCTTACGATGTCGTCCCCGGGCAAGACCGTGCTGTGGCGCTGGCAAGAGTACCTAACTGTAAGGCACCGAGTGGACTATGGGCAGTCATTATAAGGAATGATACACTCTTGATTGGATGCCCGAGCGCTGGGCTCATATGCAAATGAGCGACGTGGTGCCGGCTGGTAATTGGTATAATTATGTTGCACCTCGTTTAGTCTGAGCATCAAGCCTCGCTAGCTCAATCGGTAGAGCGTGAGACTCTTACTTCTGCGTCACAAGAGTGATATCAGATCTCAAGGCTGCGGGTTCGACCCCCGCGTGGGGCTTCATTTTTGGAAGCGTTCTCAACTGCCGAACTCGTTCCAAACGTTTACCATTTACCATGGCGGGCAACGTACTGCCGAAGCCAAAGGAACTTTGCTCCCTTGATATTCATGGTTAATAGTATGTCTCGACGTGCCGTGCCGGCAAATTTTTGAATGTAGTGGCCGGGTGGCGCTGACGTACTCGCTTCGCCTGAGGTGAGATGTTGGTGAAACGCTACCTCGCCGGACCAAGGCAAGTTCACTGTAGGGCTTTTAGCGAGTCCTTGAACAGTTCGAGTGCCTTGCGTTGGTGTAACAGCGGCTGTCCGCCCGGTTTCATTACATGACCTGCGAGTCGGTGCCGCTCCGGAGCTGACGAGAAAGATCTGGAGGAGGAAGCAGGCGCACGACGGCCGGTTGTTCGAGGCCTCTTTGCCGCCACATGGTGCAATTAGTGCGGTGATGCTCCCAGGCGAGTATGACAACGGCTAAAGCTTTGCGACGCGGAGGCTCCATCTAACTGGTGGTGCAGCCGAGTGATGCCCGAAGCTCAGTACGTGTGACAGTGCTGTCGTGCCCTGGTGTGTGGGAAGGCACGCTCATATAACGGTCGACAACCTGCACGGTGGCTGAGGAATAGGAGTCTCTTGATGCACGAGAAGCACCGTTCCACCGCGGACCTGGATGGATGCTTCGATCATCCCGAGGCGGAAACCGCGAGGCGTGCATGTCTCATTTGAGGTGATGCGAGCCGTGTGCGGGCCTGACCGTTGATGTGTTGCCTCAGGATAGTCATGCAGCACATCACAACCTCAGGAAGCTTATATGACAGGATATTTCGTTGACAGGGCGAGGCTCCGCGGCCGTCAACCACCGAACGCTTGTTACCCGCGGCCATGCTCGCTTACTTTGCCTAGCAGGCCAAAACGTAGGCTGTAATTACAGTTTGCGGCATGGTGCTGGTAAGCCAGACTCGCATTGTTTCTCTAGTGTAATGCGTGACTGCTCCTGCCAATCGACCAGCCGACATCCCGGCGCATTGCTGTAAGATGAGGCGGTCGGGCGTGCGGCGTCAAAAGGCTATTCGCCCTATGATGGTTCCTATACAGAGAGGTTACGTAGGTCGCGCCAGGAATGATGGGATCACACTAGACCAGCCACCATCGCTCCCAATGTTGCAAACAAGAAGACGCCTAGAGGTTGAGTGTAGAAGGGGCAATCGGTCATGTGAAAGGGGAAGGCAGCGGGGTGAGGTAGACTCAGGAGGTGAGGGCAGTGAGCAGTGGGGCGTACGGGGAGGGGAGCTGCCGGCTGACAGGCGTTTATTTCTTTCGTCGTAGCGTTGAAATATGCGAAGGGGGCGTAAGTGTACGCTCGCTTAGAGAGAATTGAATTGCGGCCGTTACAATCGAAGCGGCGCGGAGCGGGGTGTTGATCATCAGGCGCATGTGGGAAAATCGTAAATTATTTGGTGTTTTTCTGTGGGCGGATTCAAATAGCGGCAGCGCGGCTTGAAGCATCTTGACGACGCTCACTCCCGCTCGTCGTTCGCACTCCTCGCTTTCGCTGTCGCACTCCACCCTGCAACCTGTACAACGCCATTAGAAAAAAGCCAGCTTGCAACTCTCGCATCCTATCCAAAGGTCCGTCCGTCCGACCACCTTTTCACCCGTCACTCACGCTGCTCCCGCGACCACCGACCACCCCCCCCGCAGGACTATATTCTTGTGCCAGTATCATCTCGTCTCGTCCCCTCACGTCGTCCGCGCTCTTACGTCGGTCGTCATACACTAATCCACCTGCACCGCACCCCCTCTTTGGTCAACCAACACCCGCCTCTACCCTCTACCGCATCATGGCTGGCAACGCGCACCCAACGCCCATCCCTAATAATTCTGACTATGCGGACAGACCGCCTGCCTTTCTCGACCTGGCTGACTCGGTGTGTATTTTCCCCGCTTTGTGCTTTTTGGCGGTTCTTGGCGCTCATGATCCCCCTCCCCCCCCCCAAATCACGTCGTCTCACCAGGCCGCAAGACTAGGCACAAATCTGCCCGACGTGGCTGCTGTGAGTCGCTTTTTTGGCACGTCTCATGTGTTGCGCGCAGCTCAATGATTTTGCTGTTCGCACAGCGCGTTGAGCTCAAGCGCCTCGACTATGAACGCCAACGTCAGCTTCACCGCAAAAATTTTGAAGACCAGATGCGCTTTCTCGAGGCTCAGCAGGCCATCGAGGAGCGCGAGATGCTCTCTGTCACTGCGGATGGCACCCACGTTGCAGTCTCCGCGCCAACAACCCCGCCCAGACTGTCTGCTCAGCTCCACGCCAACAACGCCACAAATGGTCCGACCTTCGACCACTCGGCGCTTTCCCAGGCTGTTGGAAAGGCCAACAAGCGCAAGTCGGTCAACTACGCTCCTTCGCCTTCCATCATCAACGATGCCGGCTCCGTTTACGCTAGCTCCCTGCACCCACACTCCTTTTCCCGTCCTATCGGCGCAAAGTCCATGCCCGCCAGTCGCCGCACGTCGGCAAGCAGCCAGGATCTCGACGAGCTTGGTGATCTCACCCTCAGAGCGCTTACCTTGAACGACCGCGCTGGCACGCCTACGCACTCGATCTTGCGCAATGTGCGTGGCGAGGAAGGTTTCCTGCGCAGCGAGCCTCAGGCAATCGATGCTGGTCTCATGCTGGATGACGAAATCGACAAGGAAATCAACAGTGCGCACGCGTGCGATCAAACCTCCTCGTTTACATCTGATGTTCCTTTGTGTGTAGCGGCCATGCGCTACGTGCCCTCGGTCGATGAGGACAAGTTTGCCATCATGCGCACCGAGTCGTTCCCTGGTCGAGTATGTGTCTTATTGGGATGGTACATGCTTTATTAGACTCTGAGCTGTATTTTTCGCAGCTTTCGGCTTCATCTGCAGCTCTTGACCTAGCACCACTTTCTGGCACTCCCCCACGCGGCTCTCACCTCGGCCGCATTGGTGATATCAACGGCATCGGGAAGTCATCTTCGAATGGCCCCAGTTCGCTGGTCGCGCTCAGGATGGTTTCCCCGCTCGTCCTGAGAAGCATCGCACGGCGACGACCCCTATTGGCCTCAGCACCCTCAGCACCGTGAGTAAACACCGTTCAAGGTCGAAACACTATTGACAGCGCTGTGCAGATTAGTCCCGATGTTTCGCGTCGCTCGTCACCTCCTGGACTTTCGGACGGCATCTCGATCACAACCGCCCGTTCCGTGCCCGCGACCCCGCTCAATACCCTGCCGAATGGTCGCACTGACATCAACTCTCTGCTCAAGGCTAGCACTACCCCAATCCTTTCCGGTGCTGGTAGTAACCCCGACATGGTTTCACAGCTTGGCGCTCCAGCCCAGATTCCAGACCGCGCCTTTGGTGGAAGCGATCTCAGCGCAACCTTGTCCCGCTTGTCTGGAACAAACGCCGTGTCGTTCGAGGGTTCTGCTTACGCAGGTGCCATCAAGGCGAGCCCCGAAGAGCCTTCGGTAACACTCCTCTTTTAAGAATTTCCAAGGCACGTGAGCTGACATTTTCTCTGCCCCTCTAGCAGTTTGGCGTTGACGCCCTGTACGGCGGTGGCCTGAATGGGTCATATGAGTCGAATCGCTTCAACCGCACAAGCGCCAGCTACGACAACGGATTCGACCCGACTGCGCGTGCTCCTTCCGCTTCGAGTGCAAATGTCGCGGGCTCCACCGCTCTGTATCATCACCACGGAACGCGCTACGGCTTGTCGCACGGCAACGTCAACCCACGCGTCAACGCTGCGCCGGACAGCAAGATGAACGGGCTCCATGGACCGAAGCATAAGCGCGGCGATGTTGACCGCGAATGTCCGTGTGGCTGCATTTCCTTTGACATTGGCCTAACTGACGGACGGATCCACAGTCAACCGCTTCACAGGTACCCGCCTCGAGGATCTCCAAGGCGAAATCGCGTCTCTCTGCAAGGACCAACATGGTTGCCGCTACTTGCAGAAGAAGCTCGAAGAGGGTATCCCGGAGCACCGCGATATCATCTTCCATGAGACCTTTGGCCACTTTGCCGAGCTCATGACTGATCCCTTCGGAAACTACCTCTGCCAGAAGCTCGTCGAGTACTCGAACGATGAACAGCGCAACGTCATCTGCGAGTCGGTCGCTCAGGACCTTGTCACCATCTCGCTCAACATGCATGGCACTCGCGCCGTCCAGAAGATGATCGACTTCTTGTCAACTCAGCGCCAGGTTTGTTTTGAAAGTTGTCCAGTAAACATGTCGACTCATGACTTGCTTTCTCCTTTCTAGATTCGCGCCATCATCGTTGCGCTGAGCTTGCACGTGGTGACTTTGATCAAGGATTTGAACGGCAACCACGTCATCCAGAAGTGTCTCAACAAGCTTGCGCCGGAGGACAACCAGGTGTGCCCGGTTTGCATCATACAAACTAGTCATTTGCTTACTCGAGCGCAGTTCATCTACAACGCGGTCGCCCAAAACTGTGTCGAGGTCGCCACCCACCGTCACGGCTGCTGCGTTCTTCAGCGCTGCATTGATCACGCCTCTGACAGCCAGCGCGTGCAACTCGTCCAGGAGATCACGTACAATGCGCTCACGCTGGTCCAGGACCCATATGGCAATTACGTAAGTGCTCCTTGGCTTTTGATGCAAGGTCGCTCACCCTCCTTTAGGTCGTTCAGTATATTCTTGACCTGAACGACAACCGTTTCAGCGATGGAGTCATCCGCCAGTTTGGCGGCAACGTCTGCGCCCTGTCTGTCCAGAAGTTTAGCTCCAACGTGATCGAGAAGGTACGGAGACTTGGCTTTGGAGATGCGGATGCTGATTATGCTTTGTAGTGCATTCGCGTTGCTGAACCCCATACGCGCAAGTCTCTCATCGACGAGCTGCTCAACCGTAACCGCATGGAGAAGCTCCTTCGCGACTCGTTTGGCAACTACTGTGTACAAACAGCCCTCGACTATGCCGATCCTAACCAGCGTGCTGCTGTGC